CCTAATTCAAGTTTTGTGCAAAAACGCATGATCGCTCCGGCTCGCCTGGTGCGTTCCAGCCTGGGTATTCTAAGGGACTAGAAATATCCTCCTTTAATTTCATTTCCTCTGATTCCAAGCTAATGCTTTTTCGTCAACACTTTCACATTTCCGTACGTGAGGCCTGGACCTATGCGAGAGCTGAATTGAAATCTGTGGGATCGCACGTGGGAGCGGTATATTGTCCTGAAATTGCAGCTTCATTGTTTTTGTTGGTTCCTGTATTAAAAACTCAGGAGAATACAATTGTACAAAAAATACTCACGCCATACACACGCGCAACCTACCAGTGCTTTTCAGCTTAAAAATCTGGGGGTGATTAGGTGAGAGTAAGCTCTGTGCTGTTTTTACGTGAGACTTTACTTTGCTGACAACGAACACCAAGCATTTGCGGGGGAAGCTGCTCGGTCACTCGGACTTCATCACTCACATCCACTCACGCGCGCGGGTGGACCCACTCTGAGGGCCGACTCTTTCAGCCGCTGGTTTAGGGACTTTCGCTCACAGATTGTGATAGTGCGGTCACACGGAGGACCGTTGCGTCACTGCAATTATCTCACTTCCCATCATCGAAGGATGGGCGACGCAGGAATTCATAGATTGGAGCCAGTGCGGTGTGCTGCTGACACTAGCTGAGTCGTCGAAGGCAGAGAAGCTCTTGCAAAATATCTAGGAAATGAGTTGTGAGGAGTGTCGCGTTAAAAGATGTTTGCGGAACAGTTTTAGATTTCAGTGATTTTGTTCATGTTTTGACTTTCAGCCACTAATCATTACCTTATTTGTCGCAAATCTGTACATGTGGTGTTACGTTTGTCTTAAATCTGGACATATGGTGTTTTTGTCAAATATGTAAAAACATGTTGACAAAAACAGATCGAAGAGCAACTATAGATCTTCAGTAGTGCAGAACAAAAGTTCGGGACGAGCTGGCAACGGGGGCAGGCTAAAGCGGCTCGCAAAGCTTAGAAGAAAATTGGGGGCTTCGCTGT